AGTCCTGCGTCCGGTCCTATCCATAAGCATAATGGAGACGAGAGTCATGGCCACCATAACGACACCGACGCCTATAGTCGAGTATTTGGCCATTTCTTCGTTAAGTCCGGCCGAAGTGAATATATTCGTCGAGTAGTAGAAAATGGCGTTAATTCCTGAGAGTTGTTGAGACAATTGCATTATTATGCCGATTATGAGCGGCGTTTGCAGCGACCGGTTCCCAATCAACTGCAACATTGTTATCTGTTAATGCAATACAGGCATTAGTAGACTGTTTAGTGGACAGGCGTTTAGTGACGGCTCGCAATGCAATCAATCAATACGTCTAACAGTTATAATAAGTTTAGTATTTCCTTATAATAAGTATAGTATTAGTCATAATATAGAGCAGTAAAGGCTAATAATAAACCAAAAGCTAAACCAACTCTGGCTTCTTGTTGTTGAGCTCTGTCTTCAATTCTCATTTCTTCGATGTCGTCCTCAACATCCGAAGTACAGCGCAGTCTTTGTAACGCTTTTCATTCAATGACAAAATCAATAGTTAGATATGAGACCAACGGATCAGTTGTTGGCATCATTCATACCATAACGCGCTTCAGTTATCCTGCCTTTACTTATGAGTAGATATCGGGGGCTTTCGGGACACATAGGAAGCAGTAGTAATTGGAGTACCGCTGGAATGAACGCAACACCTAATAGAAAAGGCCAGCCGTCGCGCGTGCCTAATATGATTGGAAGGCCTAATATCTGTGATAATAGCAGTCCGATTGTAACTCCCAATTGACTGACAGTGCCTTTGCGATGGTAAGACATAAAACAATTTAGAAATTTTATATAAACTAATGGTTTGGAGTGCAATGGATGTCATACCGAGAGCTCCTCTGAGAGTCATCGGCGCTATTTCTGACAAATACCTGACGTTTTATAGCGAATAGAAAGCAATTAGTTTGAGTGTACAGTGATTGTAAGAAATGGACAAAAAGGACACAAACATAGGCACGAGTGCTGTGTTGAGACCACAACTGAGACCAATGAAGAATCGGCCCATAATTAGGCATTCAATGCTACGAAAGAGTTGACTTGAGCTCATAAGGGTTGCCCCGAGTATTGCAATGGCATTATTGAGAAGTAGTCCACATTTCCTATAGATATTGGAAAGTCATTGGCAAACCGTATTTAATGAGCCAATAGTTAACAAATGATGTCTTAGTGTGTTGTGTGGCATACCTTCCGCAATAGTCAGCTATAGCGCCACCGGATATGCCGCCAATCATTCCTCCCACAGCGAACACACTGACGGTCACCGACCAGAGCAGGGCTAACATCTCTTCCGTCATGTATTTACTGGTTCTCGTCTTATAGATGTTGGCTATAAAGTCCTCCAAAATCTATCCCAACATTACATACAATTCATTCATTCATTCAGATATTGATATCTCTGTTAAGTTTAGCCATTCATTAACTATTGCGGTAATTCAATGCAAACAAAACAATAAAACACAATCAAACTAATGAATAAAATGTCACAATTTTATTAATAGCTGTGAATCCCATTTTCACATTTCTACC